AGAAAAAAGAAGGAAAGATATATATATATATATATATATATATATATATATATAAATTTAAGAAAATAAATTTAAAGGTAAGATTTAGGTTTTGATATGTATAAATGTGCTTTTTTTCAGCTTTAAATTTCTGTTTTGTTGAATATTAGACTTTTTAAGATTTTTTTTGGGTTGATTAATGAATTGATTTGAATGTTATGAGTTAATTGTTATAGGTAGTAAATTATTTAGTTGATTTTAAAATATTTTAGGTAAAAATAATGATTTTAAGTTATAATTTTATTTAAATGGTGAATTTGAGTTAGAAATATTGATATAACAGTAGATGATCTATGAAAATTTTGGGTTTGAGGTTGAGAAATATTGATATAACAGTAGGTGATCTATGAAAATTTTGGGTTTGAGGTTAAAGATGATGAAAGTTTGGTTTAGTCCCTCAATTTATGAAAAATACAGTTTAGTCCCAAACTTTGAAAAATTATAGATTTGTCCCTGGAACATAATCTGAGATTCTAGACAGAATTAAAGATGAATTATTGGCAGAATTCCAGTATAGTTATGAATTTATGACACTATCAATTTGGTCCTCTCATTTGATAAAATTACAATTTGACCCTAAAAATTTGATAAAATTCAAGAATGATCCCTGAAGCATAATTTCAGATTATGAATAGATCTAAGGATGAATTGTGGGCAGAATTCCATTACAGTCATGAATTTATGATTTTTTTTTTATTTGGTCCTTTAATTTGATAAAGTTATAATTTGACCTCCAAAAATACGATGAAATTCAAGATTGCTCCCTAGTATAATATTAGCTATTTTCAGATTAGGTTAATAAAAAATTAAGGATTGTTAAGTGAATTATTATCCTGTCTTGTTACTTGTTTTTTTTTTTATAAAAGTTATCAAGTCTTGTTATTTGAGTTATTTAAAGAATAAATTTATATATAAATTTAGATTTGTATAAATATATAACCTTAAAAAAATAAATTATATGCCGATCATCCATCTGGAATTCATGGTGACATGGTTACTCTGTCAACCTAATTGAACACTGGAGTTCTGTCTTGCTCCAAAGAAACTCAAAATGGAACGGAGTGAGATAAGCAAGCAAATTAAATCCTTGGATAAAAGATAGTGAGAGGTTGGGGATGTGCTCTCTACACTTCCAATGCCGGCAAGCCCCGTGCGGGTTTATATACAGGGAGGAAAAGCAAGCGAGTAAATAAATTTATGTCATGAGAGGAAGACTATAAAAGGCTAATACGCCAAGAAGAAACACATACAGTTACTAAGACTACTTAGGTAAGCTTTCTGAGGTTGTTGTTTTTTTAAGTATATTTTATTTGTGTATATATTAAAATAATTCTTTTAAAAAATTATTTTTGATATAAAAATATTAAAAAATATTAATTTAAAATAAAAAATTCATATTTTTTAAAAAACACTGTTAAATCATAAAAAAAAACACTGCAAAAAATTTCTGGCTGTTTTAGTGGGGGTGACTGCGTTTTGTTTCAGCCACCTTCTTCTACCCATTTGGTTACCTGCAATGTGCTGAGATTTTGCTGCAACAAACTACGGTTCAAATGAGAAAACTATTGCTGCAAATCCACTACTAGTTTGCTAAAATAAAATCCATGAGTTTAGCAAAAACAATATCCTTCTACAAGCAATCTTTGGCTTTTTAATTATTTTATTTTCAACATTATTTTTTAACCAAATATTTATAAATTAGTTTTATTTAAAATAATTTTAACTAGAAACATATTTTTATTAATTTTTTTTATTAAAAAGTGTTCTTTTAATTTTTTTTTCAAATCACAACGAAAAAAAATTACCACGATATCAAAATTAAAACCATAACCATGAAAGGTGTAAAAGAGAGAGAGAAGAGAAGAGAAAATATTATCCTCAAAGAAAATAGAAAAAAAAGCTGTATGATTGTTTATGAAGAGAATATATAATCAGGCATCAATGGAGTCGGCAAGAGTAAACGTGATGCATATGCTTCTAATTGGATGGCTAAAAGCAGAGAAAGGCCAAAGTAAAAATTACACAATAAACCTAGAAAGAAAACGTTATTTCATTGCTGGTTAATATATGCGCTTCCTCTCACAGTGCACTGCGCCCTTTTTTTTATTTTTTACAAGATAATTTTTTTTTATTTTGAAATTTTGCTTTCTTTGCATAGTTTTAGAATATTTTTTTTTAATTTTTTATTTTGCTTTCTTTGCATAGTTTTAGAATTCAAGGTATTTGAGATGATTTTAAATTTTAATTAGAAAAAAATTTAATGAAATAAGATTTCAATTTATAATATAAAAAACAACGAGTTACCTTTTCTTTTGCTTAAAAAATTGTTTCTCTATGTTGTTTATTAGTGATTATAGTATAATGACTTGGGTGTATTTTGTGAGATAAAAATCTAAAGTTGATACTATTTTAAAAAATTTAAATGTTTTGTTGAAAAAACAATTGCCATTATATAAAAGTATATATTGAAATTAAAGTTATAATAAGGGCAAAGAGCACATTTACAGACATTTTTCCAGGTTTTGCGAGGATAAAGAAATTGAGAAACAGCTCATTATTGGTTAGACGGCCTAATAAAGTGAAGTTTCAAAGAGGAAGAATCGAATTGTAATGGAGATGATGAAGTGTATATTGTATTCCAAGAACCACCCTAAAGGTTGTTAGCCTGAGTCAACAATGTACACAATTACTTATTTGATTAATAGGTGTCTTATGAAGGTTGTGTGGGTTAACATTTAAATTTTATAGCCAAGAAAGCTATCCATGAATCGCTTGAAGGTATGTATTTGGTAGTGTTTTCTGTGCTTAAATATTGAAGGAAAAGAGACACGAGCTAGAAAAGACAAATTGGCTATAACTCAGTGCAAAATCTTAAGTTATTAACCGATATCTTAAAGTGTGACTTATATTATAATGTCTAATATATTGAAAGTTTGAAGGCTCGTATTATTTCACAAGACATTAAAGTTGCGGTTTTTTTGTAATAATTGTTCAAAAATCCCAAATGCCAGAAGAGTTTCAAGCTCTTTTTTATCGATTCCAATGAGAAATCATAGGTCCTAATTTATTATGTCAGTTTGTCAAAAAAAAAAAAAAATCTTTTGCAGTAATCTGAGAAGTCAATCATATCTATCTTGTGTTAGAAAATGTTTTATGAACATAGTAGCCAAACTAAAAGTGAGGTTGATTTACGTTTAGGGTTAAGAATTTGTTGTAAATTATTCTCTAACAAGAATAATAATTTAACATGAAACATTGTGAATAAATGAAAAATTACTCATGCCAGCATTATTGGTGCACTTATGGCGTCTGTTTTCTTAGGGGCTTTGGATCGAGGAAGGTGGATGCATGCTAATATGTTATTGGATAGAATGCTAGGCACCGTGCTAATTGATATGTATGCTAAGTGTGAATGTATCAAGATGGCTTGTAGCCGCATGGGAATGTTGGATGAAGGGTTGAGAATATTCGAGAGCATGAGTAATACATATGTCTTTGAGCCACAAAGCCATCATTATGCTTGTCTTGTGGATCTAATGGGAAGAGCTGGGAGGATAGAGGAAGCAAAGAAGGTGAAGAAAGAGATGACCCTACAGCCATATTCATGTATCTTGGGCGGCGCATGCTTGTAGAGTACGTGGTGATCATGTCCAGTTGGGTGAAGAAATGGTTGATTGCTTGGTGCAGCGGTGTCTTCACCATGGTGGCGTACGTGTTCTTCTTTCAAACATGTATGCCTCTGCTGACAAATGGGAGGGTGTCCCATAGATAAGGAAGGAAACGAAAGACAAAAACATAAGAAAGTTTCCAGGTTGTGGTTGAAGTGAAGTGAATGGTTACTGTTTGTGAATTTGTCACCGGAGATAGGTCCTACGCGCTTATGGAAGATATCATTCATGTTCTTGCTGTTTGGAATTGACAAGCACTTAAAAGTCTCTCATTTTGGGATCTGATTATATAAATTTACTGGTCCTATTAACCATTCATCCTAAAGACTTGTCAAAGTTTTCATGTAGCCGGGAGTGAATTACAGTTTTATTAAAGAAAAGCAAGAATGTCCGAGTAATGCTAAATATAAAAATAAAATACGATTTTTAAGCTAAAAAAATAAAATATAAGAATAATTAAAGAAACCAAAGAGTTTCTGCTTCAAGTTGCAAGTCACATTTTATGAATCAACGGGTCAACGTGCAGACAACACAGAGAAAGAAGCAGTGGCATTGGATGAGGAGGAGGCAGTAGAAGTTGACTTGTCTCCAAGGAACCTTTCAACAGATTCAACAAAGGGCGGTCTAGATGGTTGCGTGTGCTCCAATGAACCCCTACTTTTGAACAAAACAACTACCTCGGACATTGACGGCCTTGAAGTTGGTGATGATTGGGTGCACATTAAGGCAATCTCTATGATTTTCTTTGCATGCTCGGCTTCATACTCACTGGGATCTAAGCTTTCATCCACCAATTCAATGTGCTTGTCATCCTCATATAGCTTCCATGCCTGTTGAACATGATCCGAACAAAGATACAAATTACAGCACAATAAACAATGTCTTGGTTAAGCTTCTAGCCTTCCGGGACTCACCTTTTTGAGGAGGTATTCAGCACCAGGATCAGCTATCATTTCACTGCTCTTCTTGCCACTTACGATTTCAAGGACAACGATACCAAAGCTGTATGTGTCAACTTTTTCCGATAGCTGTCCATGGAGAGCGTACTCAGGTGCCGTGTATCCCCTGAATTCATGGGCATTGATTCAAATTTTGATGTCAGATATAGATGCATTTGATAAGTATTTGTGTTCTTTAACAAAATTTGGTAGTATCAAAACCCAATCTGTTATGACTAAATGTGAAACACCTTAACAGATTCATGTTCCATTAGCATGGATTATAGTCATGTTCACATCCACCATCATGTTTGCTATATAGTTTCACCATACGAGGAAATATAACAGGAATCTAGTAGAAAAATGGTGGAAAGCTGTTATGAGACTTAAAACTCTTCTATGTACTGCTGCAACTGCATTAATCTTTCTGAAGGTAATTTTTCTTGTGCTTACAGGTGAAAGTTTACTTCCCAAGACACGAGGGACTGGGACGGATACCGAAGAGATAGAAATATGTTTGGTTGACGAGACATAGAAGATATAAAATAAATTTGTATCACAACAATTGCATGGACCATACTAATTTCAGCAGTACATTGTAACTTACAATGTTCCCGCAAATTTTGTGCTAAGGTGGCTCTGATTCTAGTTTCTTTACCGCAACTTCTTTCCCATTCTTCAAAGTACCCTGTGAAATTGACAAAGGATTTATTAACAATAGAACAGTGAGACAGAGGGTAGAACTGATTTGAGCGTTTTCCATAGAGGAAAAAAGCTTCCATGCTAGATGTGATAGCTATATGTTGCAGAATATTTGCAGTCTCTTCTATTTCACCTTGTATACATCACCAAAACCTCCTTCTCCTAGCTTGTTTTCTTCTTTAAAATTTTTTGTTGCTGATTTCAAGTCCTTATAACTGTATATGGTGGCGCCTCGCAGCTCGGTTGCATCTAATATATTACCTGCAACAATGTTAGGAGTTACGATTTCACTTTGCAATAGAACATGAAAAGTGAAGATTGTGACCATGCCGTTCACTTTACCTCTAGGAGCTGCCTTCCGCTTCTTAGATAGTTTAAACCAAACAAACAATCCAACAATAAGCAAAACAAGGGCTGCCCCTCCAGCTGCACCCCCGATAATGGCGCCTTTTTTGGAGCTTGATGAACTTTCTGCAAGAATAACAGAATGTTTGATTAGCATACAGGACTGGACATAGCCACTCAAAAGCATCACTTTTTTGTTTCAGTATCATATGAGACGTCTATCTGCACGAAATGTGCTCCAATGAACATAATTCCGTAGATGATCTAGATTGCACAGTTGCTTCAATTTGCAAATGTCCATAGCATTTTTCTAAATCACAGAAAACATAATTTAATTGGCTCAAAGACCTCATGAAATAGACAAGAAAACAGATGGAGACTTGGTGTTGGTAGAGGAAATCTCACTAGTTTTCAAGAAGGGCAGGAGATCGATAGTCTGGTTATCAGCAAAGAAGGGTTTGTCCGAGTATCTCATAAAACATCCTGAATCAAGTGCCCTGCCATCCGCATTTGGAGGACACCTCTGTATGTTTTTATAGGCAACTTCCATACAAGCTTGGCAACCAGCCGAATCAATAGTTTGCACACATTGTGCAATGCCATACACGGATACATTTGAACCTGCCACTTCCCTCTTGCTAGCGGCAAAGAAACCATCTATCCTTGGTGTCGCTACTTGAAGATCGCCTAATAGGCCTGCCACAGTTGTGTTAAAAGTAGTATCTGGTGATGATGTAGTTTCATTCCCGCAATACTCGCGATTGGCATCCCGAGTAGTCTCCCCATAGAATTCGCTCCTCTCATACCTCAACAAAGCAGAGAACATAAAGTTTAGTAAGAGGTTAGCTAGTTGCCAGTTGTCCAGGTGTCTGAACACCCTTGGTTCCTGAATTATTTGCAGGATTGAAGCAATAGAACCATAAACCAACAGGTTATTGATGAGAAAAACTTCCAAGGAGAAACTGACAATTCATGGCAAACTATTCGACCATCTAAACAATTAGATGCTGTCCACCGACAGAAGGGATTGATTGGTAGTTTGATGCCATTTTTGGTCATAATTTTGCTAGAATTTTTCACCTTAGGCAACAAGCATATGAACTCACAAGTAGGGTTTTTCTCTGTCAGAAAATATTTTTCTTCCTAAGAACTGTCCTGAGATCTTTTTCAACATCAAGGACACGGGAAATTCTTAATATATGATTAGATGCTATAACCTGTTAAAACCTCAACAAAAATTCATTTACCAAGTCTTAACTTAATTACTGGATCCAGGAAAATACCTGAGGAAACATCCATCATAGACAACACGAGCACCATTGGCCACAGAGCAGTTGCGAATCTGCGTCGAAGCAGCAGAAAAACAAGCAATGCAATCAGCTGCAGACATATAATCTCTGCACTGAAACATGGCATAAACTGAGTCGGGACCACTCAAACTCTGCTCTGTTACAAATTTTTTGCTGCCGTTGATCAAGTCAGTCCTGACTAACCCGAAGGTTATGTTCAGGTTGCTATTGAAATTCGACACGCTGCTAACATTATAACTGCTGCAACCTTGGCTTAGCATATTGATTCCTGGGTCTGATGCTCCAACTTTCAGCATAAAACACCATGTGATTACTACTACTGCGTTAAACATGCGATTCCTGGTCTCCATCTTTGTGTTCGTTAATTGACTGACAATATCAATATCAAATAGGATACATAACATTGAATGACTGGAAACGATAGCCGCCTACTCAGAATTATCTGTGATATTTTTTAAGTATCTGTCCAATAATAATTAAAACTTGGAAGCCTAACCGACCCCATATGAAAGTGAGACACAGCGAGACCCCTTGTGAGTTCAGGAACAACAACCACAGGAGTAGACTTGTCAAACAGCGTGTCTTAGACCATTTTTGTCACTACCACTTATAGTTTTGTAGCCTAGGCTGTCTTAAAATAATTCATTGAGAGATTATTTTTGTATATAAAAAAAATACGGAGACTTGAACACATCATTATCCACTTCACTAATTGTCGTGATACATCTAATTTCTTGTTCCTGTTTCTATTTTTTTTCTTAAGGTTTGTAGTTTTCTCAGCCAAACTTTGTGCATGAAGACTAAATTCTATTCAAATTTGAAGTATGACAAGTCATTCAATTCCAGAGAATTTTTTTCTTATTACAATGAGTTTTGAGATTTGAATTTAAAAATATAACATGAAGAGTAAACTAATTGATACATGGTGATGAAAACATCAATGATGTTAGTGTGTATGTGCTGCAACCAATCAAGATGTAAGACAACCATTTAAGCGTTCAGGAATAAGGACCACTTGGGTATCAAACAATATGTTTTAGAATATATATGTCACATCCACTAGCAGATGTGTAGCCTATTCTTCAGTTAAAAACGCAATATCAAATAGTCACTTAAATCAATCATTGTTTACTTAACTAATTGTTATGACAGGCCAATTATTTTTGTTTTTTACTAAAATAAAATAAAATCCATGGTTTTCTTAGCCTGTAATTCTAATCCAGAGGGATTTCTTTATTAGAATCACTTTTGAGATTTGAAATTTAAAAAAAAAAACTTTCAATTTGAAGGCCTTCCTATATAGAATTAGCCTGAAGAGTCTTCTCACCGAATTTGAGAGTGATACAACTATCAAATTGAAAGTTATGGGATGAACTCTTCTTGAACTAGCCTTGTTATATTGATCCATAGATGACTTGAATGTCCAAAGAAAGGGGAGAATAACTCAATATTGGTCTTCAGATGTGATCGATGATAGCACATCTGACTTGTAGAAATGACAAATTTCCCAAGAAAAGGGAGCTCGGCACAATTCTAACCCAATGAGGTAGACATGAGGCACATTTTCTTCCTGAAGCACAAATGAGGTTGAAATGGAGGGACATTTTTTTCTTGAATCGTAAATGGGGATGGAGGACCGCCCCATCTCCATCAATCTCTAAACTCGATTAGATGGTGATAATTGATTTTTTAATTTATGCTTTCATTATGTTTTACTCTTTTTTTTTTTTTTTGCTGATGCCAAACTACTCAGATTTTACTACTTCTCCTAAGAAATTATAGTAAAATTCAATATTTATTGTGCGTGTTTGTGTGTATGTATTTTCGTCGATGGAGAATTTCTAAACTTGGCAAAAAGAAACACTTTTCGCAACCCTTTTTGGCTACTTTGCAGTGGTTCTCTGCTCCCTATCTGTTCCTCCCAGCTGCATAATTTTGAAGATCACCACGACTTGAAGGTCAGATTAATTTAAGACAGGGAACTATATACAATGTCCACATGAATGATCTTGCAATAATGCACGACTGACTAACAGCCACATATATGAAGAAGATTTGCACACCCGTATTTTTTTAAGGTCAGCAAGCCGGCGGAAAAATGTTAGGTTACATTCTCTCTTGGCCACTAGCTAGTTTAACAAAACAGAAGTGGAAGGTGAGTGGTGAGATTAGAACATGAAGAACCAAACAAGAAACGTGGCTTCGTTTTTCTTATTCTTTCTTCATCTTTAATATATATATATATATATATATATTGGGGGTGTTCCATGAGTGGTCAAAGGAGGCCGAACGCAGTAAATAAGAGTCTATCTGTTAAGGCTCTAGGCGCGGGGATGCGCACAGTAAATAAGAGTCTATCCATGGAAAGAAACTAGAACACCTCGTGTTTTTACTGTAGCTTTGTTATTGTAGACGTAGACTTAGCTGTATTGTGAATTGGAATAGTTACCATTATAAACACAGCACAAAAGGGGCGGTGGTATAAATATAATAGTTGTTTTTTCCACAATGAAATGACCCTTTGAGGCAAAAATTCTTATTTTTGACTTTAACATTATAAATCAACTATCAAGTGTAAAATGAACACAAAGCCCTTGAATTAAAATTGTCTTTGCGTTTTATTAAGGGTTTTTTCTTCTTCTTTTTTTTTCTTTTCTTTTCCTCTTGATTTTTTTTTTGTAATTATCAAATCTAATAAAAGGCAATTTAATATTTAAAAATATAAAATATTAATTAATTTTAAAAAATCAGTCGTATATATTATACACACGTACACGTATGAGTGCTCTGATACTTTTTGAATGTCACATATAGCATCGTATGACGGCCAAACTCCAACTCCGACAACTGCATTTTAATTTTCACAGAATTACCTTTGTTTCTAGGTGGCATGTGTTGCAAAAAAAAAACATTTGATTTTACACTAGTGATTGTTTCATTTTTTTTCATTATTTCTTCTTTTCTTTGCGGTTTCAAAGTCTTTCCCTATACATTTTCAAAGTAATTCTTTTATTTTTTCTTTCAAATTTAGTTTTTATTTTTTTATTGTTATTTTTTTTATTTAAAATAATTTATAGATTTGGATTTTTCTTTCAATTTTACCCTACATTAATTTTTTTATATTTGGTTTCTATTATTTAATTGTTATTTTTTAATTATTTTATTAATTGTATTCCCAATATTTTACCTTTCTTATTCCTTTTTTATCTTTACCTATTAAAATGAACTAAAAATATACTGTTTTACTGTAGTTTTTCTATTGTCCGCGTGGTCTTATCGGTAACGTAAATTAGAATAGTTAAATAATGATTTTGATGCAATAAACATAAAACAAATAGCTTTGAAAGCGAGGGTATAATAGGTTTTTTATTATTATTTTTATGGTGAAATGAATAACATATTCTTTGAAAGAAAAATTATAGCGATGGCAGGCAGGGTTATTTTTGGCCTTTTCATTGTAAATGAATAGCAACATCCTTGAATTAAAAATTTACATGCCTCTAAACAAAATTAATTTATCTTTTAACATAATATTATTAAATTTTAATTTTTTAATTTTTATTATTTTTTATAGAATTATTTTAATTTAATATTTTAAATCTCAGGTTAATCAAGATAATCCTGAATGACTCAAATATTTTTTTTATATTAATTTTTTTAATTTTATTATTTATTATTTAATTTACTTGAGATTTTATTTTCATTGTTTTACTTCTTCTTTTTTTAAGTTATCTTGATTTTATAAGCCGCAAGTTTGTTTTATTTTTTAAAAAATTAATTTTTTAATTTATTTTTCAATATTAAATATGTTAGTAATTGAACTTTTTATTTAATTTTTTTTATTTATTATTAGGATCTTTAAAACCTTTAAAAAATATATTTTTTATAATATTAATATGTGTTTTTTTTTATTTTTCATTATTTTTTTTTATCTTTTCCATTAATAGAGAGATATATTAATAGACACACTAGTTTTTTATTCTTTTCTTTTTTTCTTTTTTTGTTCTCCTTTTTCAATGGTTGTTGTCTAGCATAGTTTATATTAACTAATGTTTTCCTTTTTCAATGGCTGTTGTCTAGCATAGTTTATATTAACTAATACCTTAAAATCTTGAAATTAATAATTATAAATATTTAATAAACTATTATTTTTTACATTTCAATTATTTTTTATTAATATAAATATCTGAATTAGTTTATATGTGTTTCTATTAATTTTATAAATTTTAAAATTAATAATTATATAATTTTTTAATAATTATTTTATTTGGAAATTCCAAAGGAGAGAGAGATATATCTTTTTTTCTTTTCTTTTTTCCGTTCCTTTTTTTCTTTTTTTTTCTTCAAATCGATTGTCCCAAGCAAGATGAAGTCCAAGTGCGGCTGCCTACGTACAGCTCAGCTTTGATGGCATTGCACCACCCTGCTAGCTCCAGCAACAACAACAACCAACCAAAAATCGGCCACAAGCATCATCCCAAATGGCATGCAAAGAACAATAAGATTCTGTATAATTAAGCCAATCTTGTGTTTCCAATTGACAAAACCAGTTCATGTGTTGTTGAAGAGCAAAAGCAGACCATATGTCAATTGCAGTTTTAGAACCTCTGAGCACATGGATAAGTGATTCAGACTGGCCTGGGCATGTCACGGTAGTCACCCTCTACACAGATGTCTCCTGTTTCTTTCAGCATCAGTTAACAATCTTTCTTTCTATAACAGACAGCCACACACAAAAAAAAAAAAACTCTAAACCTCTATGTGGTCCCTTTCATTTTCAGATTTTGTCCCAACTAGAATCATGATTGTTCCATGTTTCTTCTGCAACATAATCATAAGCGGCTGATATTGAGAACCCCATTTTACAGGTCCAAGGCCATATTGCTTTTTATCATCTCCATTAGAGGGGCTGGGAGGGCATATGCTAGCAAGGGTTAATTTGCACAGCATTATTTGGCAACCATTCTCCAAGCATGTCCTCCTTTCAAGTTCCTTTTTCATCTACCATTTCCACAACCTTTACATCTACATCTACTCTCACCCCGTTTGTAAATTCAACTCTAGACCCATTTTCAGCCAAACCTGATCATTTCTAATAAAATAGTAGCATTTTGTTGCTTTTTTTTACATTGAACCGACCGGATTTGAACCAGGATTGGTTTGGTTAAACGGATTTGGCCAAGTCAATATATTGCATGATTCAACTAAAACATTCTTGAGTTTGAACCGACCGGATTTGAACCAGGATCGGTTTGGTTAAACGGATTTGGCCAAGTCAATATATATATTGCATGATTCAACTAAAACCTTCTTGAGTTAGACCTCGAATCACAGCCTTTTCATATCAACATATAAGGCTGGACCGGGTTTAAAACTTTACCTCCGCTGCTGCTATTTATGAGCTTTTTGGATCCATGTTGGCATGTGCAGATTAGGAATACTTTCTGTGAGACTAAACACTGCAAATGTTTTGGATAACAAAGGAGCTCCCTTAGGCTCTAACTCTGCTGTTTGCATGAACCTCCTGATTGTATTGTACACTGCTTGTATACAAATTTCATAGGGCCGAGGTTTGATAGTTTAGATATCACAGGTAGGCTTTTACTTGTTGTTTTGAGCTTGCTTAGGCCCCTCATGTAAAATATATATATATATATATATATATATATATATATGGGAACAATGACGTTGGTCATCCCATCAACCAAAAAAATATATTTTAAGGATGAGAAAATAATAAGAAAAACAAAGCCATCTTCTATAAACAACGTGCAAGTTTCTTGTTTTGTTCTCCTTGTTGTGATCTCACCTTCCTCTTCTATTTTTTTAAACTAGCATTTTGTTGCTTGCAAAGAAAGTAACCTAGCATTCTCTGCATGATTTTATTTTATTTTTGTGCAAACTCGGGCTTAAATTCCTGAAAAAAATTCAATTAAACGAGGTAAAACTGACTTGATTAGGTTATAATACAAAATAGTATATAAACTCATAGGAAGATCATTAACAATACAATCTTTCTTATTAAACAGGTTGCGAGATAAATCGAAGTTCATTAACCAGTCTGCTTTAAAGTTGATCTCCCAAAAAGTATGTTAAATCTTGACCTCCCAATCTCTAATAAAAAGTGTACAAGCTCTAACAACAAAAATAAAAGTATAGTTACTGTCTTTCTCACCTATTTTGTAACGAAATTCACTATCAGAAAAGAGTCGGAATCTAAAGTAAATAAGATAAATTTCAAGCTACCATACAAGTTTCAAGACCAATGATAGTAGCCTATAACTCTGCTCTAATTAAAGTACAAAAGGCCATGTTTATTGCGAATTAGCCTTCCCTCACCTGCAAAACCTGCTATTTCTGTGTAACCTAGCATTCTCTGCCAGCTTGTTGACCTTGTAAAACATTAGATATTGTGCATTATTGTAAGTTGATTGCGGACATGGTATTTCTGTGTCTTCTTAAATTGACTTGACCTTCTTCGAGTCATGTTGATCTTCAAAATTATGAAATTAGGAGGAAGATATAGGAGGGGCAAGAACCATTGCAACGTAGCAAAAAAGAAGTTAATTACAAAGGTTGCCGGATTTGACTTGAATTTTTGAATTTCTTTTATTTGTTAAATATTAGGGTTTTTTCAATCCTGTCGAATTTGACTTAATTCTATTCTAACAGTTAAAAAAATTTCCAAACCAGTCAGGTGATGACATATCAGAAAAAATATAATTCCTTGCGTGCATCTCATATTTATCAAGGTTTTTATAAGATAGGAGTAAGCTTGGAGATACTATATCGATGAACAACAATCCCTTTGGCTGGGGAATTTGTCACTTGCACAGGCCAGATATGAGTTATTTTCACCCTTCTTTGGAGGAGTACAAGCTGCTTCTAAGGATAGCTGTGCTGTTATCTAATTAACATCTCTCAATTATTGTTTCTTCTTTGAAAAAATTGTGACGCCTGCAATTGTGTCACCGGCGGCATTATTTCTCAATTATTTCCTGCTTTAAAACATATTGCCTTCAAATAAAAGAACTATTGCCTTCAAATAGAAATAAACAAACTAGAAAAACATAACCATAGAAATAGAAAAAAAAATGTTTTCTTATAAAAAACCTCCTGGAACATTTTCTCAGAAATTGATCTATATATGTTAATTCTCTTTTTAATTCCTCTTTTAGAGTATGACATCAAGAATATGGTGTCTAAAACTGACAGTATTAGAATTGACTTTTGAGCAGATCCATACAACAATCTTTGAGAAGTTCATCATCCATATGTTAACTGATTTTAATGACTGGTCTTATGTCAGATTAGGATAAAATTTATTCTTACACAAAATTTGGCTGAGAAAATTACCACAAACCTTAAATAAAAATAAGAAGAATAAAAATGGAATGTCACAACAATTACTTTGGTAGATAGTGATGTTTTCAAGTCAACTGATCAAGTTTCCCTATTTTTTATACAAAAAAAAAATCCCTCAAAGAATTATTTTAAGACAGCCTAGGTTACAAATCTACTAGCTGTGGCGACAACAATGTTCTAAACCAGGCTGTTTGATCCACCCATAGGGTTCTCATTCCTGAACACACACATATAGGCTTCCACATGTTAATTAATAGTGGATAAATACTGAAAAATATAACAGAAAATTCTGTGTAGGCGGCTTTTGTTCCCGGTCATTTGATATTTAAGTATCTTATTTGATTTTAATTTTGTCCTGTAGAAAGACAATCAAATAATGAACACAAAGATGGAGTCCAGGAATCGCATGTTTAACGCAGTCGTAGTAATCACATGGTATTTTATGCTGAAAGTTGGAGAATCAGCCCCAGGAATCAATATGCTAAGCCAAGGTTGCAGCAGTTATAATGTTAGCAGCGTGTCGAATTTCAACAGCAACCTGAACATAACCTTCGGGTTAGTCAGGACTGACTTGATGAACGGAAGCAAAAAATTTGTAACCGAGCAGAGTTTGAGTGGTCCAGACTCAGTTTATGCCATGTTTCAGTGCAGAGATTATATGTCTGCAGCTGATTGCATTGCTTGTTTTTCTGCTGCTTCGACGCAGATTCGCAACTGTTCTGTGGCCAATGGTGCTCGTGTTGTCTATGATGGATGTTTCCTCAGGTATTTTCCTGGATCCAGTAATTAAGTTAAGACTTGGTAAATGAATTTTTGTTGAGGTTTTAACAGGTTATAGCATCTAATCATATATTAAGAATTTCCCGTGTCCTTGATGTTGAAAAAGATCTCAGGACAGTTCTTAGGAAGAAAAATATTTTCTGACAGAGAAAAACCCTACTTGTGAGTTCATATGCTTGTTGCCTAAGGTGAGAAATTCTAGCAAAATTATGACCAGAAATGTCATCAAACTACCAATCAATCCCTTCTGTCAGTGGGCAGCATCTAACTGTTTAGATGGTCGAATGGTTTGCCATGAACTGTCAGTTTCTCCTTGAAAGTTTTTCTCATCAATAACCTGTTGGTTTATGGTTCTATTGCTTCAAAATCCCGCAAATAATTCAGGAACCAAGGGTGTTTAGACACCCTGGAAAACTGGCAACTAGCTAACCTCTTACTAAACTTTATGTTCTCTGCTTTGTTGAGGTATGAGAGGAGCGAATTCTATGGGGAGACTACTCGGGATGCCAATCGCGAGTATTGCGGGAATAAAACTACAACATCACCCGATAGTACTTTTAACACAACTGTGGCAGGCCTATTAGGCGATCTTCAAGT